GACACACAGTACAGGGATGACCAGAGACTGCGGACAGCACAGGGATGACCGGAGACTGCGGACACAGTACAGGGATGACCAGAGACTACGGACAGTACAGGGATGACCAGAGACTGCGGACAGCACAGGGATGACCAGAGACTGCGGACACAGTACAGGGATGACCAGAGACTGCGGACAGTACAGGGATGACCAGAGACTGCGGACAGTACAGGGGATGACCAGAGACTGCGGACACAGTACAGGGATGACCAGAGACAGTACAGGGATGACAGAGACTGCGGACAGTACAGGGATGACAGTACAGGGATGACCAGAGACTGCGGACAGTACAGAGATGACCAGAGACTGCGGAAAGCACAGGGAGATGACAGGGATGACCAGAGACTGCGGACAGTACAGATGACTGCTGACCTTTGGGGAGGGAGGGGGAGCGGGTACCTGAATTTGACAGGTACCCGCTCTTACTTCCGCAGAGTTTTTTTTTTTTATCTTACCTGTTCCTTTATCCAGCCGCGCGCTGTCTTCCCGGCTTCTGTAGTGTGGGCGCTCGTCGGACAGCCGGATGCCCAGTGCGCATGCGCGAGAAGCGCTGCGCTTTGTGATTGGTCCGGCGGCTTCTGGGATCTGTCATGTGTCCCAGGTACCGCCTTACCATTCACAAAGAGCACTGCTTCTTGCGCATGCGCACTTGGGACCCGGCTGTCACGCACACTACAGAAGCCGGGAAGACAGCGCGCCGCTGGATAGAGGGACAGGTAAGGTCCCACTGCAGAGCTGAGCGGCCGGCCCGGTATTCTGACACGGCGGCGGTGGAAATACCGGACCGGCCGCTCTATATTCGATCCATAAGACGCACTGACATTTTCCCCCCTTTTTTGGGGGAAAAAAGTGCGTCTTATGGAGCGAAAAATACGGTATTCTCCTGGCGTGCCCACAGATAAGGCTCGGCGTGCCGGCTGTGGCACGCGTGCCACGGGTTCGCCATCACTGCTCTATAGTGTGTACTTGTCTCTATTAAGAGCACTAAGTCTCATTTCTGTCTGCTGCTTCGTTCCTCTGCTATCAACATGAATCACTTCTGACAAGCTTTTCTGACACCAAGAGAAAAATGGTGACAGGGGAGGGACTTCTAGTGGATTGACAGCTTCATCTCTGTTCCTGTGTGCTGTGTGGAGGGGTGTGTCTCCTCCTTCCAATCAGCTCTCAGATCTCTCCTCACTGGACTTTTTTCTGAACTCTCAGACAAGCTTATAAATATAGCGCTTTGAATTGCTGTAGAGAAGGGAATAATGCAGATAAACAGGTACAACTTATGTAGGAGGCAGGGGTGGACTGACAACTTATGGGGTCCTCAGCAATAAGAGATAATGGGGCGCCCTGTGTCTCTGCCTACACTCAAGCCACACCCACACAACACCCCACCAGCATATTGCAGCTCAGCTGCATAGAAAGGGCAGTAAAAATAATTTAAAAAAAATAATAAAAAAAATAATAAAACAACATTGTGGGGTCCCCCCTCCATTCATACCAAGCCCTTCAGGTCTGGTATGGGTTTTGAGGGGAACCCCCACACCAAAGTTTAAAATAAATGGTGTGGGGTCCCCCCCAAGATCCATACCAGACCTTTATCTGAGCATGCAGCCAGGCAGGCCAGGAAAGGGGGGGGGACAAGTGAGGGCCTCCCCTCCTGAACCATACCAGGCCACATGCCGCACCATGTACCCTATACTCATTCACAAAGGGAGCGGCAGGATCTAGGGGCCATTTTGCTAAACAGGACTTCCAGATTCCGATAATCCCCCCACCCGCAGACCCCCACAACCACCAACCAGGGTTGTGGGAAGAGGCCCTATTTCCCCCATGGTGAGGGTATGTGGCCTGATATGCTTCAGGAGGCGGCGCTCGCTCGTCCCCACCCTTTCCTGACCTGCCGAGCTGCATGCTCGGATAAGGGTCAGGTATGGATTTTGAGGGGGACCCCCACAGCATTTTTAAAAACAATTTTGTCGTGGGGGTTCCCCTCAAAATCCATACCAGACCTGAAGGACTTGGTATAGATGGAGGGGGGACCTCACGCCGTTTTTTAAATTATTTTTTTAACCTCCTTGGCTGTATGATTATTTCCGATTTTTTGTGCTGAAAGCGGTACCATTTTTTTTTGCATGGAAATATGTCGTTTTTTATTGTAGGCTGTAATTTTTAGGAATAACTCACTGAAATCTGTACGAACAAGAGTCTATTAAAACATCCCGGGTAGGATAAAATTTGAAACACGAAATCATAAATTATAATTTAATAAATAATCATAAAAAAAATAATAATATAATAATAATAATAAATTTAATTCAATAATATAATCAAACCAAAAACACTGAAATTTGAAATACAGAGGCAAATTCGCACATCGCTGAGCAAAGTCGCAAAATCGTTTTCAGTGTCTGATGACGAATTTCCCCACGAATCATTATCACTGCAAGTAGTTCTAATTTACTATCACTGTTCTAAAACCGCTTTTGACGTAAAGGGATGCTTTTTTGACGCCATGGACTTTTCTAAGTTTCCAGGCAGAAAGAACATTCAAAATGCAGGCAGGGCACAAGACAAAGCAGTAGGGACAAAATATATGTGAAATGCATTGAAACAGCAATGACAGCAAAAATGACATTTTTAAAAAATTTCAAATTTCCCGCCGGTTCCGGCACCCGTGCGTCCCAACGTCACAGGGACCGGAACATAGAAGTCGGATGCCGGCATCGGCCGGAGGAGATGGCCGGGGACGCTGCAGGGGGGACACATTGCGGGAGCGAAGTACAAGGTAAGTGCTGCAGGGACCCCCAGAGCAACGCCGTATGGTAAGCCCGAGTGTAGCTCGGGGTTACCGCTCTTGGTATAGAAATTTTACCGCGAGCTACACTCGGGATTACCGCTAAGGAGGTTAATTGCTGGCAATTCCTTCTTTTACATTCTGCTGTCAGTGGGGAACCCCGCTAACAGCTGCAACATTAACGCATGGTTTTCACTACTAAAATACCGCATGACTTGATCAAATAACTCATGCGGTATTTTAGTAGCGTTTTTTGGTGAATTCATTTTTTTTTTTTAAATGCTATGCGATATCCTACCACATACTCGGATGCTGTAAGATACCACTTAGTGAATTGTGCCCAGTGAGCCTCTCACTGGGCCCCCTACTGACCCGAATGGTCAGTCCACCCCTGGTAGCAGGATTTGTTTCATCTGTGTATCACCTGAGGCCAGTCACTTCACTGGGTATATGTATGGGTTTACAACCACTTTAGATGAATAAACCAACACATGATTAAGAGGCTAATGTGTTTTGTCTGTAGAAGCCTTAATCATAGCTTATGATTAAAGCAGAACATGAACTATTAACTAACAACATTAAAGCGTTACTAAACCTTGCATTTACTATGTCTGGTCTCCCACAGGACACAGAACATGGAAATGCATTTATTTTAGTAACTATAAATTGCTAAATACCTTTTCTCATCAGCAGTTCCAGCAGTCTTGTGACTTCTATCAGTGTCCAGCAGAGCACTGGTTAAAGCTTTTAGGAGGAGTTTTCATTCTCCCTGATTGTCCTATGAGTCTGCTTAATCCCTGACCCTCTGAACGGTGCTGATTGGCCCTTTTCTGATCACATGCACTCTTTCAAGAAAAAAAAAATACCAAACTGAGCATATGCAGCTTGGCCCTAAGGCTCTGTTCTGTCAGCAGATGGATTGGGGACAGTAGAAGAAGGGGGGGGAGATCTGAGAAGACAGGATCAAACAGCCTTTTTACACAATGCAGAGAATTGACCCTTTAGATTCCACAGCATCTTGAATATAACAAGCATGCTTTACTGCATATGCAGACTGATTTTACTGTTGTGTGTTTAATAACACTTTAACTATTTTAATTCTTATGCTGCTAGCCTTAGTGAACAAATAGGAAGGTATATTATATTTACTTTTTCAAGAAACGTGGGTGCACTGTCTCTTAAAATTTCCAAAGTGCAATTCAGCATACAATATAACTTTTATAAAACCATATTATTTTATAAGGAAATAATAATAGTGTAAACTCATTACATGCAATAACCTCTATCCTCTGAAGATACTGTTTACGAGAAACGTGTTAGCCAGGGCCAAACACATGACGTTATTATGCACGCTGGCGGAAATCTAGCAGTGCTTGTCCTTTGTCATATGTCTGTGATTGTCTTCTTATTGTAAGTACATTACCATATTAAAAGCCCTTGGTTTTAACACACTGTGCTATGATGGTCCCTTGTCCTCTGTGCTGAGCACACTTATACAGGATCGTACCTAGATGGAGTGATGTGTCTGAATATTTTGTGCTGTGGGACAGCAAGGTGCTTCTTCATGATCTCTATGTGGGATCAGTGTCTCTGGTAAGGAGTTCACCTTACATGTGGGTGGTGGAATTTCCTGGCACCCTCTATTCCTGCTGCACTGAATTCTCTCCGTCTCACACTTTGAAGTGTGTCTTCTTTTTCTTTGGGATTTTCTTTCTTGATCTTGGACTGTTCACCAGGATTTTTATCCATCTGTATGGCCATTTTGCACATTTGTTTGCTTTAGTAATCTTTATTATTTTTATTTGAAATATTGAATAACATATTTTTATTTATGCTTGTTTTTTTTTTTTCTATATGTACATTTGTCCATCTGCACATGTATATACACTTCTTTATATTTATTTCTATTTTTAGAATGGAGTACCAGGTTATATTATATATACTACTTTAAAGTTTGAGAGCTTTTGAGCTTATCATTGTCCATATACACATTTGTCCATCTGTACGTACAGTATATACACTCTTCTATGTTTATCTTTATTGCTTTTTAGGTATACAGTGCAATTTTTATTTGTGTTTATATTTGGTTTTCAATTTTTATATTACCTTGATTATTCCCAAGATTTTTGGGCAAATATTCTGTGGACTCTTGAGAAAAAAGTTGAACTTTTTTGGAAGGTGTGCATCCCATTACATCTGGCATAAAACTAGCATAGCATTTCATAAAAAGGACATCATACCAGCAGTCAACCATGGTGGTGGTAGTGTGATGGGCTGCTTTGCAGCTTCAGGACCTGGACGACTTGCCGTAATTAATGGAAACATGAATTCTGCACTCTTCCAGAAAATCCTGAAGGAGAATATTTGGCTCAGGGGCGGACTGACAACTCATGGGGCCCCCGGGCAATAGGGGATCATGGGGCCCCTGTGTCCTTGCCCAAACTCAAAAAAGCTATGAAAAAGGTACCAGGGGCATCTCATGGGGCCCCCTACTGACCCCGGGCCCTCGGGCAGTGCCCGAGTTTCCAAATGGTCAGTCCGCCCCTGATCTGGCTATCAATGTCTGACGCACTTGGATTATGCAGCAAGGGGTTTTGGGAGGCAATTACATTTTCACATAGGGTCATTCAGGTTTGGACAGATTTTTCCCTTAATAAATTAAATCATTGTTTACAAACTGCATTTTGTATTTACTTGGGTTATCTTTGTGTAATTTTAAATTTTTTTGATGATCTGAATCATTTAAGTGTGACAAATTAGCTAAACAAAATCAGAAATTGGGCAAATACTATTTCACAGCAGTGTATTTCACAGTGTATATCTATCAAGAGGTAATTTCATGATGGATGATAATATGTTAGCAGACTGTAGCATGTGATCATAGGAAAATATTGATCCAATTAGAAAATAACTTGCGTAGGGTGAGGCTGGGAGAGATAAATTGTTGGCACTGGCTGGGATCTGACCCTTCCATCACATACAGTATTGGTGCCAGTGGCTGGAATCAGACACTGCTCTCTTCACAGGCCCCTAGGTCTAAAATATGTCCTCATGTAGCACCCCCTCCTAGATAGGTGATAAGTTAGGTCAATTTAGTTACTGGCTCACTGTAATCAATGGAGTTGCATGTGATGATTTTGGTCTGTTCTATGTTTCAAAGGCTGCAGGGTTAGCTGCTTCCCCCTGTATGTCTGGAGGCTTCTTGAAAGTAGTGGGCTTGAAGAGTCAAAGCAGCAGCTGAATATTTATGCAGCAGTGATGGAGAACAGAAATAATATCTTATTTTTGTGTTGTTTTGTGTCAAGCAGTCAGCCTGTCTGCTTAATTAAATCTAGGAGTTCCTGTGCCCCGCAGGGGGTGGGAGATGAAGTTGATCTCAGCAGGAGGCACAGACAGCAAGGTGTCCTGCAGCTGGAAAAAGCCAGATGTGTTGGCACCGGATATTTAAGGTTTGGTTGAATTGAAGGAACAATATATTTTTCCCTATGCTGGCAGAAAGGCTCAGAACTTTTTCCAGAGTTCACCCCTGTGATGAACAAAGGAGCTGAGGGCTGCAAGTATTCCTAGAAGAAAGTTAGAAGATAAGCAGAACTGCTGATAAAGATAGTCTTGTGTATGGGTTGTGCTTCGATTTCTGAACTGCTGGGACTTGTAGTTTCATATTGTCTATGTGGCTTCCTGGACACTGGGACTCTGCTCTCCTCTCTGCATTTCCTGCAACTGTTGCCTGAGTGGTCTTGAAGCTGCGGCCAGGACAACACAGTCCTCCGAGGACCCGTGATGAGTAAGTGAAGTCTGTGACCTGCGACTCACTGTGCCTGGATGGATTTTTGCTGTTGACTCTGGACTTAACCCTATTCTGCCCAGAACCTTTTTTCCTGTGTGCTATACTTAACTCTGCTCTGCTTGAACCTTTTGCCCTGCATGCTGGACTTAACCCTTTGTCTGTCGGAGTCCTGCCATCCCTGTAGTGTGTTCAGACCTGTGTTACAGATTTACCCCTTTGCCTACCAGAACTCTGCTTTCCTTGCCTTTCAATAAAAGCCTTGTGTGTATTCCTGCTCTCCGTGTGTGTTCTGTTCCACCCACTCCTCCGTTTCAGCAGCCCTAACCAATCCCTGGGGAGATGTGCCCAGATGAGGGCAGGGAGGGAGCTTAAATACTCTGCGACTTGGAGCAGAGGGATTCTTGTCTTGGAGGAGGAAATTCCAGGCTAGAGAGCTGCTGCCCTTCTGGGCAGGCCTGCCATGTATCTGCTGTTTCTCGAGATTCCAGTTATGCTAGCTGGTCACCTATTTTGCTGAAATTCGCTGAAGCTGACCGAGGGACTTTCTTTTGGGGATCTGGTCGGAAGAATTCATAGGAGAGGTGTCTGGAAGATATTGGAAGGAGGCATCCAATTATCTAAGGACTTTAGTAAGTACAGACAGATATGAGAAATACCAGTGACTGTGTGTTGCCATTAACGAGTCAGCATTACCTAAATGGACCTTGTGCTTGGTGTCTCTGTGTAGTTAAGCCCAATATTTGCTGCTGTAAGTACTTAGCTCATAGGAGGATGATTAGTGTCCTCAAGTTATTGCTTAATGGTGCTGGGGTTTCCCACAGTTACCCTAATCCCCTTCCAAGTTCAAGTTCTACAATAAAGCATCAGAAAAGCATACCCCTAGTCTGATTCCTGAGCCAAAAGAGTGACTGTGAATGTGTTCCTGGCTGCAGATGCGTCTCCTTCCGGAGTGAGCGCTACACTCAGAGTAAACCTATTATGAGACAATTGTCAGGATGCTATTGCAGACCTACAGTACCTCTGTAGTCTAGTTGCCTAGATTCTCTGGCTTTAATAACCTTCAGTATAACTGACCTGGAACAAGTATGCATATCAGCAAAGGCTCTCTGCTTATTCTGTCTCAGTGACACAAAGTACTGAACTGAAGCAAGAAGGCCAGTAGGACATGCAGGCAACTAACATATGCTGAAGGATATTTCAGCAATGTGACTCCCTTGTTTCTGCCATAACTAGTCTCATGCAAAATTTGTGATTCAGGTCAATAGCTAAATTTACATTAGGCATCTAAAGGTGGAAAACAGAGTCGCATATAAGCAGCTCAGTGTACAACCTCAGCATTTCTTAATGCTGGGATGGATTAACTCCCATGTATATGAACAGGCGTTACATTATACCAGGTCAGCAAAATAAGCTGGCCAGCAATGCCAAACCTGGAAAGAGACTGGACTATCAGTGATAACTCAGGAGCTTGCAGATGTCACATTGCACATTGCTATGTGAAGATAAATGCTGCAGACTTTAGCTCCACTTTGAAATCTATTTATACCAAACCTTTTTATTTAGGTTATCTCTGTTCATCTGGTCAATACGACATGGTCTTGCATACCAGCACTATGGAAGTTGACCCACCGCCGACCACACGAGAGTGGGTTTAGAAGGGTTGAGGATATAAGGATGGAAAGTCTTAAAATTTATTAAAAGATACACACCTCTGCCACACAGCACAACTAGGCAGGTGACACCCTCATTTCCTCTTTCAGCCTTTGTAGCTTTAGTTTTCCTCTTTTCCTTCATTGAGCAATGTTTTACTGGTTGTGTAGTGTACTAGAGATTTATGATTCATAAGAACTGATAAACAGAATTACAAATCCCCTGGCTGCCAATGCATTTCAGATAAGTAGATGTTTACTTTGTCTTCCATTTTACCAAACCATTAAATGTAAGAACAATAGTTTCATAATGAGAAAAAGCTACTAATAATGTTTGCTACTATTTCTACACAGGATATATTTGACATTTATATAACTTTACTGTACAGCCTATTGCTAGCTGTTTGCTGGCATTTATTGGCATCAAAATTGTTTTTGGATGTTTTTCCTCTATGGGACTGCTAAACTGGAAGTCCCCTGAAAATAAAAGTAATACTTGCCACTTCAGGGATTCAACTCTTCTGATTGACAGCATCTTTAAATTGCAAAGTGACACATGGCTCTGTGTTCCAGCATCCCCATGCCTTTTGTGTCCTAAGTGCATGCTCCCTGCTGCCGTACTTACCTGCATTTCCTTGCCTCCTGTGTCCTCTTTTCCTGTCCTCAGCCTCTAGCTACTCTGTGTCTTTAGTGCATTTCAGTGTCAACTGGTTTGCCCCATGCCTCCAAGTCAGTCAGTGCATCCCAGTGTCACCCAGTGTGCCCTCCCTTTCTCCAATGTGACCCACTACTACCCATAACTCCATGCTGCCTACAAAGGCATCTTTGTCCTGTTGTCTGGCCTGCTACACTCCTCTGTCAGTACCCTTTGCTGCCTCTCTACCCTCAGGTAAGTTCCAAAAAGAAGAAATCCCTTGGACTTTCCATCTCTCACTGGATACAGATGCCAAGCTGTGACAATACTGTTACAGACGTGCATGATGGAAAAAATTGTTTAGTTTTGGATTCGTTTGTAAAGTTAACAATTTCGTTTTGTCATATTCGTTATGTTAGAATTATCCATTTTTAGAATTCGTGTCACACATTCTGATTCGTTTTGTATACTCGTTATTTTCAAATTGATTTGAAATTTGAATTCAAAATCTATTCTTTTATTTTCTGTTTTGTCCTTTTCTTCTATGCTTTTCTTTTCTATTCTATTCTTTTTTTTCTATTCTAATGTTTTATATTTTATTCTGTTCTATTTTTGTTCCCTCCTATGCTATTATTTAACTTTCTATTTTATCCTATTCAATTCTTTTCTATTCTATTATGTTCCTTTCTATTCAATTCTTTAATTTTCTATTCTGTTTTATTCTATTCTATACTATTCTGTTTTATTCTGCTATATTGTATTCTATTTTTTTTTTTTTTTTCTATTCTATTTTATTCTATTCTATAAAGCATTCTTATTTCACTTTTATACCTTACTGTATTTATTCCAATAGTTTCCATTTAAAATTTTACTTCATTTTTTAATTCAAATAATTTGTTTTGCTATAATTTATGTTGGGTTTGTTGAAATGTACTACTATTGTGATTTGGAAATTCGAATGCTTCCAAATTTCCGAATAATTAAAATTTTGTCCAACGCAAATCACAAACCTGTTACCTTCTATACCACTTTAATTTTAAGGGTTCATTCACACAGCTGTTCCTGGTCATTTACCGCCCCAAGAGAAGTATAGCATCAAATCAATGTTAGACTCAGAAGCTCCACACCTGTCCTCATGTAATCGCACATGGAGTGATTAGGGACAGAGAAATGGCCTTGGAAACAAAGCATACAAAGCTAATCACCTGTCTCTAGACGCATGTCATCTCTCCTTTAACAATTACATGTGAACAGCGTGGACAGTATTAGACTATCACTTATTTATACAAGCTTCCTGTTGGCAGCTAATCAGAAACACCTGGCTGCACAAGCCAAAGAAATAAGCTGAGCCATAAATATCTCCAGTTCTCATAATCCCTTGCAATATACAGTGAAGAATATAAGTATTTGATCCCCTGCTGATTTTGAATGTTTGCCCACTCACAAAGAAATGATCAATCTAAAAATCGAATGGTAGGTGTAT